GGAGAACTTAAAACTTTTTAAAAATTTTATGACCGCACCAGTAATACAAGATTATGTTCTTCTTTGAGGGTGGGGTAAGAAATCACACATTACTGACAGATGCAGTAAGACGGAAGACTAAATATAGTGAGATTTAATGAATTATTTATCTGTTGAAAAAAATCTGGTGGCAAGTGATAAAGTCCTTTGCTACCCTGTTCATTTCTGAGTGGCCTCCCCAAAGAATTGCTTATTTGCTAGCCATAATATAATCATTGCTTCAGATGTTTCTCAGATGTGAGCAGTGACTCAGAAGAGAGACCCGGAGGGAGAGGTGGTGTTTTTGCCCGTGGTTTATGTAAACATATATACATACAGATAGACACTTACTTTTTTTACTTTGTTTTACTTTTCTCGTGCTGAAACAAAATACCTGACACCCAAAGTTAAAGGAGGACAGGTTTATTTTGGCTCATAGTTTGTACAGGTTTCAGTTCATAGTTGGCTGGCTCCACAGCAGGGTGGCATGGCAGAGGGCCGTCACAGAGGAAAAACAGTTCATGGTGAGCAGAAGGCAGTGAAGTAGCGGAGAAAGCGACAAGCAGCAAATGACCATGAAACAGCCCTTTTTCTGTCGCTTAGGTTCTATCCAGACTTCATGTCCTTAGGCCAGGTCCAGCAACCCAGGGTGGCCTTCCCATTGTCCACACCCAGAACTGTGCCAAACCAGGTAGTGGACTACTTTAGTAATCACACAGTCTTAATCCCAGCATCACACATTCTATACACAGGCACCCCTGCAAAGCCCCACCTATGACCACATGAGGCTTGGAGGGGACATCTAGACACAAGCCGTAACACACCTTTACGTCCACTACCTACCAGAACACTGTCACCATCGGGCTTTGTTTCATGTATTCATGTATTCAATCATTCACTATTTATGACTGCATAGGACCGTGTGCAGCGCTCTGTTTCAGTGGTGGGTTGGCAGTAGTCCCGGTATCCTTGTGCTTCATATTTCCTGGGAATTTAGACCTCTTCATAGGCCACACAGTGTGCCCCTCATATGCAAGCTTTTCTGCACATCCATTGCTCTGTATCTCAGCACGTTGTGGGTATATGTTACGGTGAACCCACATTCCTTGGGACGGCCCTGCCACCTCTCTTACCACCTATTCACTGCTGTGTCTTTTTTTTTGGTTCCGGGCATCGAACTCGGGTCCTTGCGCTTGCGCAGCAGGCCGTGAAACCACTGAGCTAAATCCCTGGCCCGCACTGCTGTGTCTTCAGCAGTGCCACACCTCTTATTTTTGTCCTGGGAGACCTATTTCTCAGCAGGCATTTTGCTGCTCAGCCCCAATCCCTAGGCCTGGGTGGTGTGATGTGTGTGAGTGGCCTTGAAGGTGTCTGCTCTTGGGGGTATGGAGTCCCTGGCTGTGCAGTGTCAGGGGAAGACTGCTGATGGCGGCCTCCTGTTTCTTGAATTGGACATATCTTTGTAGCTTTGCTTCTTCATTAATAGTTTCAGAAGCCTGAGGAGTTGGACCCCAGATCTGGTGGCCATTGTGCTGTCGTCTAAAGGATGTTGGACTTCAGGTCTGCTCTGAGCAGTGCTCGAGGAGCTCCTCCTCCCCCAGCTGGGCTCTCCCAGCGGGAGGAAGTCTGTGCCGCCACTGGTGCTGCTCCGGCAGGAGACCTGACTGGCAGCCCGGTCCTCTGTGCACCACCCCGATGACCTTCCTCAGAGTTTCTGGGCAGTGGAAAGCACCCGCTTTGTTCAGGAATACAAGGGAGATTGGTGGTGAAGATTATGATTCTGTATTCCATCTTTCATCGAAACTTCATGTAGGAGTTCACAGCCCTGAAGAAAACCCCATTCCTTACTTTTCGACCTGATTTGTTAAAGAGGTTTGGGGCGAACCCGCTGTTCTGGGTCAGTTCAGATTTGCCTAAATTCTGAACCTGGCATCACCTGTGGTCACTTCTGCAGCAGGCTGTTCTTTCTGAAGACTGGCGGTGAAGTTGCAGACTGAGGGAAGCGTTAGGAGCGTCAGAGAGGGGCGGGATCTTGGGGGGACTTTGGGTCCAGCTCAGTAGGATGTTTATTTTGTCTGACTTCAAAATCAATCATCAGGAGCCGGGCCCAGGGGCAGGCAGCTGTAGTCACTGCTGCCCAGAGGGTTGGGCAGGACTTTGGGGCTAGTCCTGGGTGCCTAGTCAGACCCTGATGCTCTTAAAAAAATTACCTGGAGAACTTTTTTTTAAAGTACTGACATCTAGGCCTTGCCTCAGACCAGTTAAATCTGAATTTGGAGAAGAGAGATCCCTAGTTCTTCGCTTTTGTTTATTTAAAAGCAGCCCAGGGATCACAGTCAGACCTGTTTTTAGCAGTGTTCTTTAGTGGATGGAGATCTTGAAGATGAGACCTTGAAGTGACCCTTTAAAGTATGCTCAGTGGCCCTGGGGTCTCTTGCATACAAGAGACAGAAGAAGGAATCCTGCCAGGTAATCGGTTCTCATGAGTATAAAGCCTAGTGAGGGGCTGGCTGCACATTGACTTTGCCCAGGGATTACTGTTGTCAACAGAATTAATCTACTGATTCTCTGCCTTCTGGCTTGGGTCCACTGTTTTACTCTTCCGTTGATCTCTTGCTTGGTCCTTAACCCTCTTGAGGCTCTGGGCTCCTACCCCGATACCTGCAGATATCCAGATTCCCTGACTTAGGCCAAACAGCCCATCCCACAGCTGGCAGGGATGGTGGCAACAGGGAGTTGCTGGCAAATCCATGATATGCAGTCAGGTGGAGTTGGGTGTGATTATTACAAGAGCTGAGATACTGAAGTACATTTCCACTACTTTATGTTAAGAGGAAAATCCCTGAGGATGGTTAAATTTAGTACAGTTTGAGAGAAGAATCATTTGCAAAATGGAGGCCCCCCCCAACATCTGACAGCATTTATAGAAAAATGAACTAAGACGCGGAGAATCATCAGTTGGCTACAGCTCAGTCAGAGAGCCACTCAGTGGGTTATACCTTAAGTAGTTACTTGTTTGCAACCTAATCAGTTAATTGGCAACAGAGTTTTCTGCAACCCCCAAAGCTGTTACTGTGATTACTTTCATATATTGCTTTGGTTGACCTAGTCTAAGTCCCTGGCTTCATACTGAGTATTATTTAACAGTTTTCAGGTTTTAAAAAGCCTTGCATATTCAGTTTATGATGAATTAGGTGCTCTGCTCACAGTAAGTTGTGTTGCCTTCATAACAGTCCTTGGAGGTTGGTATTTTTGGCTCCATTTTACAGGTGTGGAAACAGGCTCAACCTCATGCTCAAACAGAAATTACTTTCATTACTCAGATGGTGAGGACATTATTTTACTCATTGTCTTGAGGCAAAGAGAAAGAGTTCTTTGGGAAAAAGTATTTGAAGTGCAGTGAACAGATACTTAAGTTTCACATATGCACAGAAAATACTGAAGCCTAATTTAGTATACTTTAGAGGAGGAAAAAGTATTTAGGAGACTAGGAGATGGAAAGCTTTAATTTTGATCCATAGAAACTTATAATGGTCAACTTCCTAGTGTTCTGAATGACTCATCTACAAAACCGTAGGAAGGGTTGAATGAGAGGGACCTAAACCTTCAGTGTACATACTTTAAAAATGACCTTTTGAAAATCTAGAAAATTTAGATTTTTTCTTTGCCATTCAGATCAGTGAGCAGATGTAAGTGATACTAGGTTTACTATTAGATGTGTATTTGGAGTTTATTAGATTCCCATTTTCCTCAAAAGGGCTCCTTTCTGTGGAATCTTTTTTCAAGCATTACTCATGTTAAAGATTGTCTTTGCAGCTGAAGAGCAAGCGTGAAGTAGTCTACATGTTTCCTCCTTGTTCTTTGTGACCATCACCTTCTCATCAAAGCTAATACCATTATTAGAATTATTATTGGCTAATTTGCAATTGAGAATGTATTGTGCTTTCTAGTTTCCATCTTCATCTTAAATTGAATGTACAGTTCCTCTAGTTTCTTTGCTTTAAAAAAGCACACTTGATTTTGTTTGGGTGCATTTAAATATTAACATAGTCAGGTGGTGTGTATTGTTTGAGTATAATTCCCTTTCATTTTAGATTCTGGGCACCTGTGATATTTGTCTTCTTACACATCAGTGCATTCAGGTGTGGGCTCACAACAAGAGAAATTTGCATCCGTGAAGAGGCTGGGAGGAGAAGGGCTTTGAACACTGTAGCAGTGGTGAATATTTTTGCTTCTGCTTGGTGGATTGGATTCATTTTGAATTTCCAAAATACATCATTAGGCAGTGTTGTTTGTTTTCTTCTTTGCCGTGAGCACTGTTGGCCCTGGAGGTTTTCTTGTTCTCAGGACTGCAGGTGGCTGTTTCGGGTCCAAGGATGTGGAAGACAGGTACCCCCTATGAGGGGTCTTCTAGGCCTCACCGTGTGCTGGGTTTGGGTGGCTGAGCCCAGGCTTTGAGGCAGCGATGTGGATGCTTGGTTTGCTGATCTGCTGTTTGCTCACCTGTGTGCCTGGGCCCAGTTAGTGTCTCTGAGCTTGAATGTCTCCACCGCCAAACAGAGACAGCAACCCCTCACTCTATGATGACCAAATGAGACCAGAGGGCCTGGATAACTAGGATTTATGCCTATTCAGGAAATCAGAACCAAAACTTCAGGCTTTGGTTCTACCAGTTGTCTGATTTGGGGCAAGTGGAAGTTAATGCACTCCTTGGAGCCTCAGTTTGTTTATCATGGGGAACACCGTACCCACAGGCTGGTGGCATTTTGCAGATCAAACAAAATCAAGTGTGTAAAGCAGGTAGCGTACCATGCTTCTCGGTGCGAAGTAAGTCCTCCTCGTCAGCTGTTGTTAGGAACAGTAGTGGTCATGGGAGTTGCTCTGGATTCTCCGGTAGCTGCGTCCCCCCACAAAATAAGGAGGCTCTTTTAGCCATTCAGAGTGTGACTTGCTCTCACTGCCTGTCTCCTCTCTTCCTCCAGCATTGACGGAAGGCTACGTGGGAGCCCCGAAGGACAGCAGACGCGGCAGCTCTGTGCAAATCCGCAGGCGCAAAGCTTCTGGTGACCCTTACTGGGCCTACTCGGGTAAGTTGCTCTGATTGGGACCCTAGACATCCCCTGAACTCATTCAAAAGCACACTTTCCATTCCTTTCACACCTGAGTGTATCTGTTCAAACCATCCTGAGGTTCCCTAAAAGTTGAAATACTGAAGCCTGCTCTCCTTCAAGGTTGTTGAGTACCTTAATAGATCCTTCCACCTGTTTTCTCAGCCTGTATTCCCCACCCATTTGCATTTATTTCTGAACTGTCCTTGTCAATGAGTTATTGTACCTACCTGGGAACTTGCCAGTAGTTGATGCAGAGCCTCCCCGTCCGCAGGCTTTCGGCTGCCTGTGATTTCAGGGAGCTCAAAATACAAGGCTCATTTCCGTGGCTTAAATGGCTGCTAAGTATCATAAAGCATCACATGTCAAACGTGGCCTTGCATGCTCTAATCTGGGAAGTGCAGCTTCATTTCCAAATCACATCTTATTGTTTGAATAGTCTTCTACAGTACATTGAGGTTCTTTTCATTTTTATTTTTCCTTTTAGCCTTTGACCAGTACATGAGACAACATTGCTACAACATGTTCAGAATCACAGTGGAACGAATATTCTTACATTTTTAGGGGGGAAGAGAAGGGAAGCTCACAGCAGCGTAGAGATCTTTCTTGATCATGTTTTCTACAATTACCAGAAATATGATAGGATTGTTATTTCTAAGACACTTTAAAGCTCAAAAATAGATGAAAAATGAATTATAGCTAATTAAGGAGGATACTTGAAGAAGATAGACCACTTTTGGAATTTACTGTATTTTGGCAGTGAATAATTCAAATTCCTTGTATGAAAGAGCTTGGAGGCATGGAGTTTGAGTCTTCATAAATTTATGTATCAAGCAATGTTGTTGGATAAGCTGAAAGGTACTTTTCATAGTAATGCTCAGGTCTTAAATCCTGAATTTCCACCTGCAAATCCTGTTAAATTTATGCCAGCATAAAATTTATAGGTCTGATCTTTAATTACACCTTATCTTATTGGCTTTTTGCATCCTTTTGTCTATTGATAAATCTCCTGCCCCTTCAGGGAGAATAGCCTATCTATTTTGTTTTGCTGCTAACAGATAGTGATTCTGAAGTCTTCCATCATACCCTGTTTTTTGTGATTAGTTATCTAATTAGAGCCTTTTTGTCACTACTTCTGATGAGTGAAGGAAATTGAGAGAGATGAAGACTAGAATTCCATACGTACATATATATCTTTTTGCCAAGAAATGCAGAGAAGATTTATCATTTTGTAGTGTCTGGCTCTGATATGAGCCAAGAAGAAGCATAAAGTGACCTGCTATTTACAGTTCATCAATTTAGAATGATGATGCTATTAGTCAGGAAACTGGAAGTTATATCCCATCAACATCTCCAATTGCAAATGGCAGGGAAGAAATTAAGGCCTCAAACTTCGCTCATTACTCAGTTAAGAATACACACAGGAGGTGCCATCTTTGGGGTGTGAGCAGTTATTGATGTCCTTACTGCTGGTAGCCTTAAGTAGTTTTTGTTTTTTGTTTTTTGGTACCGGGGATCGAACTCGAGACCTTGCGCTTGCAAGGCAGGTGGTGGAACCACTGAAAGGTAGCCTTACGTAGTTCCTTCCACTTCGTGCTTCTGGGCTGTATTGCATGTGGATTTGGGTGCTGCGTCTGTGAATTGGTGGACTAATGCTTCAAATTTAGGGCAAGGGCACTGTCTTAAAACAACAGGTAGTAAACATTGTAAGTTTTTTGGCTCATCTGGTCTCTACCACGACTGTTGAACTCAGCTGTCATACCAGAGAAGCAGCGACAGACATAATGGACACACTGACAGCATTCTGGTAAACCTTTATTTTTGAACACTGAAATTTGAGTTATAACTTTCCTGTGTCAAGAAATACTATTCTTTCGATGTTTTCTCCCACCAATTAAAAGTACAAAAAGCATTCTTCATTTGTAGGCTGTACAAAGATAGGTGACGGGTTGGGTAGGCATCACAGGCTATAGTTTGTCAACTCCTGTTTTAGATGAAATTGTTTCCACTGGAATTTGGATAGGACGGTCATGGGAGGAATCCCGCAGAGGGCTATGGACTATTTTGCAAGAACCAGTAAAGCTAGATAAAATGGTGAACATAAAAGAAGAATAAAAGAATGAGAGAGAGAGCAGATGATAGTACAGAGGAGCATCCCTTACCCAAAGTGCTTGGGACTAGCACTGCTTCAGATCTGGGAGGTTTCTGCATTTTGCAGTATTTCATGACACATAATAAGATGTGGTGGGGATGGGTCCCCAGCATGGACATGCTATATTCTTTTCTGTTTCATATACACATAGCCTCAAGGTGATTTTATACCATAGTTTTGGTGAGCCTGTGTTTGACTGTGACCTGTCACACAGGTCAGTGTGGGATCTTGCACTTGTGGCCTCATGTTGGTGCTCACTTTCAAACCTCTCTGCAGTCCTTGAGCACGACTCAGTCTTGCCTGAGAAGACCAGAATGTCAGGGCTCCTCTTGCATCAAAGTGGTCTCGAGGCCATCAAACACTCACTGGTGTTCGGTCCATCCGTAGAGAAGGGGCAGGAAGGAGGTAGGGTTGTGGCCTGTTGGTGCCTTTATTAAAGCCAGAACAAATGAAATGGGGAACTCAAAATGAGAGGGGTGGTAAGTACATACTTAAAAGCATGAATGCTGTTTGAAAAATTAGACTGACAAATGAAATACGGCTCTTTCTTTGTTGGGGGGAATGGTTTTTAATTTAGCAAAGGTGAGGCAGGCCATGTCTGGAAGATCTGTTTAATGGTCCAGATTTCAGCCTCATGTGCTCTGATGCGTCTGCTTCCTCCTAAGATGCTGTCATTGGTCCAGTACTTTGCAGGTGTGGCATGTGAGAGTATGAATTTTGTAAGTCTTATCGACAGACCATGGTTGAAATCTTTTTACCAGTTATGATTTTGGAAGAACACTTAACTGCTTGGAGCTTTAGTTTCTCCATCTTGATAATGGGAAAAATGAGTACTTCTCCCATAAGATTGTCATGGGGATGAAGTGAGGTGGGGCGTGTGTGTGTGTGTGTGTGTGTGTGTGAGAAATTTAACATTATCTATGTCATGACATAAATACTTAATGTTTCCTCTGCTGTTTCCGACATTATCAGTCCTTTCGCTGGTGCTGCTGCTGCTGCTGCTACTACTGGAGCTCTCTGTGGGTGGTCTTGATTGCCAGGGACTGACTCTTGGGTGTTACTCAGAGCTAAACAAGTGAGATACTCCCAACCATAATTTACAAAATATACTCACTTGGGGTTTGGGAATGAGGGCTAAGTGAATGTTCCTCAAGTTCAAAAGTGGGCAAACTGTGAACTTCAGGCTGTCTGTGTTTAAATGAAGTATTATTGGAACACAGCCCTGCCCATTACTCTGCATATTGTCTATGGTGCTTTTGTGCTTTGACTGCGGAGCTGATGAGACCTTGGACTGAAAGGGTTAGGTATGACTGTCTGGCCTTTCCAACAAGTGTTTGGCGGTGCTGCCTGCCTTAGTACCACCTGGAGTTTTGAGTCGATCTTAGTCTCACTCAAATGCAGGCTGCTCTGGGACTGGAACGATGTTTTTTGTCCTTGCATCTCTCTTGGCTGGTATATTCTCGGGAAGCCTTGTGGGCAGGAGTCACAGGGATGCCAGATCTGCTTTGGGCGAAGGCCCAGGAGGAGGGAAAATGAGTGGAGCAGGCTGTGTTTCTGGAAATAGGGCGGAGAGGTGATAGGAGTTAACTGTTGTGGGCTGCTGTGTCCTGCCTCATAGGTTGCCTTTGCGTGGAGGGAGTTTGGTAAAGGAAGCCAACCTGGGTATCCTGATACGGTCACCCCAGTCAGGGCTCAGGGCTGCAGGAGGTTTGGGGCTGTGCATAGCTGTCATGACCTTAGTTCTTTAACATTTTACTTTTCAATTTAGGCCACCTAAGGTATTTTGGATAATGCAGACACACTATTTGTAGTCCAAATGTTAAAACACTTTCTTTTTAAAAAAAATTTTTTTGGTACCAGGGATCACACTTGGGACCTTGTGCTTTCAAGGCAGGCGGCAGAACCACTGAGCTAAATCCCTAGCCCCTAGACTTTTTTTTTTTTAAAGTCCTGTCACACAATTCTTATGTGGGTACCTGTAGGTAACTTCAGCAATGACTTGAGGAACCTGTTCTGGTGCTGCTGTGGTCACCTCTCAGGTTCTTAACTGCTGACAAAAGGGGCCATCGTACTTGAGTTCAGTGTGGAAACATCTTTCACAGAAGGCATGAAGTGGCGTGTAAGAAGTTAGCTGTTAATAACGGCCATGTCATTTCAAAATTCTTTATGTCTTTGGATTTAATCTTTCTTATTCCTACACAGATAGGTGAAAAACCAACAACCTCTTTTGTATTTCATGCAGCCTTACACTGGGAAAAATGCACTCATTTCACGCTATCTCATTGAAAATAAAAAAATTTCTCCTTTTCTGAGTTTTACCCCACTAAGATGTAGATATTTTTCTGGGCTGCTTGAGGTGCTGACAGCACAGGCATTTTGGAGTTTGCCCAGAACTTCTGTAATTATTACACAAAAAAATAGCACATGTTGTGTGGGTCACTGCTGCTGGAATGAGAAATAAGAAAGCTGGAACAAGTCCAGGTGGAAACTTGAGACATTTTTATAAAGCAATTTTCTCTTCCCCCTCAAATACTTGGAGAAAAACACGTTGTCTTCTTCCACCAACTCCTCCCCCTTTTTCACCTTTCATATTCTCTGTCTCATATTCCTTCTGTGCATCAAGAACTTTTATGAGTCCGTGCAAAGGGGGAATTCTCTCATCATTAGAGGAATCCTAAATTGAAACGGTGATAGCACAAATTCCCTGTAAGGAGTTCTGGCAGTGGGCTAGATGAATGTCAAACAGATTCTTCTGAGAGGCATTTCTTGCTGGAGCAGGGAACATCCAAGGTCTTTTCTAACTGTTTTGTGGTTGATGTCTTGCTCA